AGACCTGACCGACACCCCCGCTCTCCGCCCGTCGGGACCTGGGGAAGGCTCGGCTCGGTTCGGCAGGCGGCCCCGTTCCTGCTGCTAGTTGTTTATTTATATATTATTTTTTCCCCTGTGCTGCCTCGGCCCCATGTTGTGCTTTTTTTTTTTTTTTTTTTTTTTTTTTTTGCAGAGGGGCGGTTGTTGGAGCGAGGGGAGCACGACATTTTTTCAGTCATAACTGATAAGTCTCCGAAATGCTTTCTCCATTGCAAACATGTGCATCTTAATGGAAACCATGGCCTCGCTCCCTCCGTCACAACAAGCGCCGCCAGCAGCGCGGAGCCCGGCGGGGCTGGGAGGCTGAGGCCGCCGGGGCGCCCCGCGGGCGGCGTGGGGAGGGCGCCGGGGGGCTCCTGCCTTACCTTAAGAAATCGAGCCAGCCATCATGAATGATGGAGGGGTCCAGCTGCAGGGAGAGGAAATTCTCACTGATTATCCTGACAGGGCTCTTGGTGTTGACATCAAGGAGAATGAGAGTCCTTCCCTTCACACCTGGAGATTTCTCCACCGGCAGCGCTCTCCTGTCCCCGGCCTGGGAGGGCAGCGAGAAGGTGGCCATGAGGGCCAGCCCAGGTGCCATCAGGGCTAAGAGCCCGGGGGGGCAGGAGCTGGGACAGGGCATGCCGGAGAGCAGGAAACCCCTAATTAACTCGCTGTCTGCAGGGGCTCGCTGGTGGCTAATTGTCCTTATCTAAAGTGTGGGGCGCTCTGCCTTTTTTTGCAATGTTTTGGTGCTGGTGGAGGGGAACTCACGCCCCTGACCAGCCTTTCTCGCAGCCGGTGCCAAGACTCCTTGCAGCCAGCACCGCCCCTTTAAGAGATGCAGGCTCCAGACATTTTTAACTTTTTGAAGGTAAGGGGAGGCTCCTGGTTTAACCCCCTCGGCTCGGGGCCCGCCGGCCCGCCAAGACGCCGCCAGCACCGAGCTTTCGCTTTGACCCGGCTCCGCCGCGCACCGGCGGCCGCTTTCCGCCGCGGGAGCTCCCGGAGCGCGCAGAACCGAGCCGTAGCCGGGACACCGAGACACCGGAGAGCTCGGCACCGGGACCGGAGCGCAGCCGCCCAGCGCTGTAAGCAGGAGGTAAGGCTGCGGCGGCGGCCCGGGTAGGGGAGAGGGGAACCGGTCACCCCTAAAGGCACCAGCCGCGGGGAGAGTTCGTGCGGGGCTGCGGCAACCGGGACCGAGCGCTGCCGGTTTGGAGGGACCCGACGGGCGCGGCGGGAGCCCGGAGCCCCCGTGCTGGAGATCCATGCTCGGCTCGGCCGGCGCACGGGCACCGCGGGGAACCGGGCCCCGGGGAATCGAGCCCCTGGCCGCCCTCTGGACCCGCCGGTGGCCGACCCACGGCAGATCCTCCCGGTGCGGAGACACCCGAAACTGCAGCGTGGTTCGACGGGACCGCCGATGCTCCCTGCTCCGGTGCCAGCCCGTGCGGGTCTGGGGCGGCGGGGCGAGAGCCGCCGCCGAGTACCGGGCCGGAACGGCCCGGGCTCGGTGCGCAGCAGAGGTTTCGGCGCTGGGTGCACCGCGAAGGGGGCTGCCGAGCTGCCCGGGGGCGATGCCTCACCTCCCGGTGTGCCCGTCCGAAGCGGGCATCCTGCCCTGCCGGCTGCCGGTTCCCGGGCAAGCACCGGGCTCCCGCACACCGACAACCGGCGAGCTTCGGGCCGCGTAACGCGCCCTACCTGGGCCTTCCGCCGCCGGCGTGGTCCGCCCCGGTCCCCGGCGGTTGGCGGGGCCCCGGTGCCGCGGAGAGGGGCTGGGCCCGGTGCGGGCCGCACGGAGCTCCCGGTGCCGTCGGGGCCCCGCGCCCCCGGGGATGGGGCGCCCGCAGCGGGAGCCCGCAGCACCATCTGCTGGTCACGGGCCCGGCCCGGGGGAGCCGGCACCCACCTGCGGCCACCCCTGCGCCGGGGGGTCCGGAGGTGGCGGGGCCGAGCGGTGCGAGGGCACCGCGCACACACAGCTGCCTGCTCCCGGTGTCCCGGGCCCCGTGGAAAAAAAAGCCGAGGGCGAGCAAGGAGGGGGCGCGGAGTGCCCGTGCGCTGAGAAGTAGCGAGGGGAAGGATGAAGCATCCCCCTCCGCACCCCGTTCCCCGGCAGGAAGCTCCGCTGGGGCTTAACGGGAAATGCACAAAATGGGATTTGTCGTGGAACGGCCCCGTGAACGCGGCCGGGCTCCAAAACAGCCCGGGAGAGGCCGCCGGGCGCGCACACGGTGACAAAAAGCAGCAAAGGGTGCCCCGGCGCCAGGCGTGGAGCAGCGGGGACTCGAGCGCTATAGAAGTAAGAGGATCCGGGGGAAAGGGCTGTGCAATTTCAGCTGTGCAAAGCCCTGGCATCCCGGGACAGGAAGAAGGCAATTTAAGCTTGGAAATTTGTGTTCGTCTGCAAACAACTTCAGTTTTCAATAGCACTTAACCGACCCGGGACATGGAGCCTCCAGAAGTTGCTCGGTTTTGGGGTCACCGCCAAGGAGGGACACGAGTTTCTGAACCATCGCCTTGCTTTTCCTTGTTTTTAATCTTTCGGTTTGTTTGTTTATCTTGTTTTGGTTTTCCGTATTATCAAAAGACATCAGCAAAGCTCCGATGGCATTTGTTGGTCAAATAAGCATTGCAGTTGCAGGCCGAAATTTCGTGTCCTGCCTCCTGGTAAGCACGGCTGTGTTTTAAAACGAAACGCGAACCCGTTATGCAGCGAAGGACAAGAAAAAAAAACAATTTACCCCGCTTAACCTTTTCACTTACAAACAAACCGCTTCGGAGGGGAAACGTGTTTACTCCGAAGCGTCCCCCGCACTTACTCCCCGCTCCGAACACAAGCTGCGGCTGCTGGGAAGTGGTTTATCTGCGGGGCCGGCCCCGGCGGCACGGAGCAGCAGAGCACACAAAGCCTCCCGGCTGCCAGCGGCTCGCACACCGCCCGGGGGCTCGCCGTCGAAGCCCTCCCGACGCCGCTCACCTGCGGCCGGCGGAGGCACGGGCAGCCGGGAGCCCACCGGGAGCCCTCCGGCAGCCCACCGGGAGCCCGCAGTCCGGGGCAGCCCCGGCTACCGGCGAGGGAGGAGGCTCGGTTGTTCCTCCGGTAGCCCGGGAGGGAGAGAGGGCGGCTCGGCTGGCGGCGGAGGGGCTCGGGCTCGAAGCGCCGCTCCTTTCTTGGATTACGGTAATTGCTTTAGAAAGCCTGGGTAGCATTAAAAAAAAAAAAATACAACCCTATCTATAAAGATTTACTCGCGGTTTTGGCCATTTGGAAATACATTTCTCAATTTTCCATCTACTCTGAACTTGCTGTTTTTAATCTCCAGAATAGTCATTGGGAAAGAAAACTGTGGGAGGAGAAGCATTTCTATAAAGAGTTTAACCAAAGCACATTAAATATTTTCCCAACATCACCAAATAAACAACAATTCTCCAGCTCCCAATAAACTATTTAAAGCATGTCATATCATCTCTTCTGCTCTTGCCAATGTACTTTCCTTCTAATTTATAAGCCGATTAGAGCAGGGGCCTGTCTTTTTGTGTATATTTGCAAAATGTCTGGCACCCTTTCAGTCAGTCACAGCTCACAAACACTTAAATGTGCATTTAACGTTGTTATCATAGGTAGTTACTGCGATTTTTTTCCTCACTTTTCCACAGCTACTGCCTGAGAAAGGGCTTGTTGTAAAATATCTGATCAGTTGCTGAAGGCTTTCAGCAAAGGAAACCTCTTTGGATTTCAGGGCTGATACAGAAAGAAAAAAAAATAAAAAGGAAAAAAAATAAAGAAGAAAAATTAAACCGGGATCTCTGGCTGTATACATCGACCCAAAAGAAAATAGGAAAACCTCCTTAGGAGGAACATTTTTAGCTCGCTAGAAAATAAACGTCTGCTCATAAATGATGAAAGTTATTATCATCAGAGGATGTGCTGTACCAAACAAACCTCCATTAGGCTAGGAAGAATAAAAACAAGCTAGACAGCCTTTTTTAAAAAAAATCATCATGTCTTTGATTCCCAAGATATCAGCCACGTCTGTTTCTGTAGTGCTGTCAAGTAAACCTGAGTTATGGATGCTCTAAAAGAAGCCAGCAAGGAGAAAATTCAGCTAGTGAAAGTAAAGAACGCTATCCATAGATAATTTACCAAAATATCTTTTCTTTTCAGACTCTTAAATGCCTGCCCTGTACCATGGCCTGACTTACTTGTTTTCCCCAGACAATTTCTGAGAAGAGCAAGGACAATGAATGTGGTCATCAGACCCTGTAACAGCACAGCAGATTCTTTTTATTGAGGTTTTTGCTCTTTCTGCACCGCTGTGTCCATCATTTTCACCACAAGAGCCTTAATGTCTGGAATGCAACCTCCTAAAATTACCAGTGCCCAAAGGTGGGTGCTGCACAGCCTGAACTCCACTGCTGAAACAATTTTCTAGCGTGTTGATGTATCACGTCTAACCTGAGCGAGCAGGCAGAAGACAATTGCTTGATTTAATGCAGTATCCGTGCATTACTCTTTAATGGAGGTGTTCTGTGAAGTTCTGTAACAAGCAAAAACATCTGTCTGGGCTAAGACGAGTGGCTGGCTGGGGAGCTGAGCGACAGCACAGGGAAAGCAAGCCTACTGAGAGAGCTTCCTCCTTCCATAAGTGCAAAAGGCAAGGCATCAATCAAAACCCACCACCTGGGCAGGAAAAGCACATTTGGCAATGCCATCTTTGTGTTTTTGCCAGTGTGAAAGGAACATAAACTGGTATCTCCAAATCTAGCCACAGCACAGTTAATTAGTGACCCAGTAGCTGCCTAATTAAAAGCCCCATAAAAATAAAATTAAAAAAAAAAAAAGGACAGGAGCCCAAAAGAGGCACCAGTGCATGGGCTCTCCCTGGCTGGGGCACACAGATGCCACAGAAAGATGCATGAGATACAAAAGGACTGAAGTTGGATTTTAGGCAGCTGCTGCTGAAGTCTTTTTTTTTTTTTTTTTTTTTTTTTTTTCTTGTTTTCTAACTTTATTCCCAGTTCTGTGAGCAGCTTGGTACCATGCACTCTGCTAGAATAAATTGTTTTTATTCTTTTCCTTCATCTGCCTAATTTGATGCATGGTTTCAGGAATACTCTGGCAAGCCCAGGGTACCTCAGCCCTGCAGATCTGTCTCCGGAGAGAACGAGCAAGCTCCCAAAGTGTCTGACTTCCAACAGGTGTTCCGAGCATCCTGAAAGCTGAGATGCACCAACTGCACAAAGCTGTGAGAACTGCTCTGGAGGTGGTGGAACCAGGTGCTGTCCGGGCCCAGCAGCCAGAAATCCCTTTTGCCCAGTGCCTCTTCAGCGAGGAGGAAAAAACAAAACAAAACAAAACAAAACAAAACCAAAAAAAAAAAAAAAGGAAAAAAAAAAGTGGGTAATGACTGGGAATATCTTCTCCACAAGTAACACTGGATTTTGGCAGAAGATGCCCTTTAGACCCATGAATATCCCTGTGCTAATCAATGGCTGGGTCTGAATTAGCTTTTGTCTTTCATATCTTGAGTAGAAGCAAATGTGGCAGCAATTCGTCACAGCCAAGCAGATAGAGGACAAACACAATAGGAGACCCGTAGCTCTGCAGCGCTCCAAAGATCACAATAGCCTCATAAACATTTTCCTCAAACTGAGCCCAGCCCCGAGGAGCAACGAAATGGGTAGAATTATCCTCATTTCACATCCTCATGTGAAAGAAAAAGAGGAGAATACGCCACTTTAACAAGCCTGAGAATGAACACAAGCAAGTATTTGTCCCACCATCTGTGAGGAGATGATAGAGGTGAAGGAAGAGGGAATACGGGGGGGATGGTAGAAGTTCACAGAGACCTTATATTTTTCTGGAGAGATGCTTCACATTCCTGCAGCAAAAATGAAGGAAGCGGACATGAGGAGTAGATCAGAGAGGGGAAATAGGAAGATGGATGAAGTGCAAGGCTGGAGGAGCAAACAAGTCAATTACAAAAAAAGAGGAAGGGGCTGTGTGCAGAGACCAACGAGGAGAAGGAGCTCAGAGGAAGAAACAGCAGCCAAAACACTCTCAAGTCAGAGACACTGCTGGGGTCAGGGAGGCAGAAACAATCAGAATCTGTCAGGTAATTATAAAATTGTAAAGCTCTGTCCTCTGTGTCTGTCTGATTATGACACCTCTGCCACCAGATTCTGCAGCTCTGTCAGGACAACTGAACACTGCCCTGCTACAGAGATGGGAAAAATCAGTCAAAGCTCCAAACCAATGGTCTGCAAAAGGAAATCAGAAGAAAAGTGTGGAACTCACAGCTAGAGAGCAAGAGAAGGAGCCACTGAGAACTATGGGTTGTGACTGAAAAGCACACAAGTAGAAGAAGGAGAAGCAAAGTGAAATGCTGGCAGTGTAGAAGCAGTGGATGCCCAGGAAGAACCCGGGAGATGAAGAGGATCAGATGGGCAAAAATGAGCACCACAGAACAAGGACGGAAGGCCAGCAGGTGCTGAGGTATGCTAAGGGAGCCATGAGAAAATGGGCTGATGCTGGACAGACCTCAGACTGACCTGCTGCTTCCATTCTCCAGTGAAAGCTCTAAAATAAATCCAGAAAAAGGAATACTTTCAACATACAAATTTCAAAACCAACAGTTATGTTCCTGACCTACTCCCCTTTAAGGTGGTGGTGGAGAGAGGAAGGTCTGCAAGCATAACATGTCAGGCTGAATTACATAATCTGGAGGATCTTTTTGGGGTTCTCCAGCCATGCAAGAGCATGGTCTGCCTGCAGCTTCACGTGGTTCTGGTACAAACCCATCCTTCCCACTGACCATCAACAACCACATAGTTCCTTCTCCTGTCTTAGGAGCAAGGGGACAGGAGAAAAAAGTTGCACAATGACAAAGAGAAATGAGAAGTATTTTCACAGCCTTTGAGGCAACACAGCCTCACCTCAGCACTGTTTCAATGCTGGCAAGTCTGCAGAAACAAGGGGGAAGGTTGCAGGGGGGGTGCGGTGTCCCTAGCACAGTAACCTCTCAGCTAGAAACAATTGCAAGGAAAGAGCACGTATCCGGGCATCTCCTTTGTCCTTTCTACCAGGATCTGGGTGTTGTATCATTTCTTCTCTCCCCAGTTTCCCTTCTGTTAGCCCTTTAGTAACAGCAACATGGAGAAAGCTAAAAATAAAGCAATATAAGCAATATAATAGGCATGCAATTGCATGTCTATTTGCTTTGAAAAAATGATGCTTTATTTCCTGTACAATGGAAAGTACAGTTTGGTGTTACAACTATTGGGTTTTGACTGAATGCAGAAATTTGACTTGAACAATGACATTTCCCCCTGTATTTAGTATTACCATATGTCCCTGATTATATATTTAAGTTGCCGAAATGAATTAAATTTCATGGCTTCCCCAAGTTAGATTCTCTTGGAGTGGACTGTCTTTAACTATTAACCAAAATACTTGGAAAACACTTTAAATCAAAACAGCAGACTTTTGGTATCATTTCAGGGGAAAATTGGTTATCGCAAACCAAGCGCTTAACATGTCAACATCCAGAAGGCTGGGTACAGCTCTGCAAGCCTGCAGTAACCATGTCCAGGACACAGAGAAAAGGAGTTAATTCAACACCACAGCCTCAGAAAGAGGAAAAAATTGGAGCTCCCTTGCCTGGGGTCTTATTCCTTCTGCTTCAGAAGTTATCATATATCCCACGTCTCAGTGCTTATTTCACTTACTTGGGTAAAGTATCTTCTTTTGGCTGGCTGCAGAGCATTAGTGACAATCACGTTGCAGACATGTTCCATGAGAAGCCAGCTCTGTGCTTGCTAGTTTTCTTCCCACTTTCTGTGGGGGGAAGTAAAAGAAAAAAAAGGAAAAAGAAAAAAAAAAAAAAAGAAAAAGAAAAAAAAAAAAGAAAGAAAGAAAAATCCAGCTTTTCTTTACTCCTTCTGTTTCCCATCATGATTTGGAATTGCTAACATTTCTATCCCCACCAGCAGTCCCCCAGTGGCTCCTCGCCCCTTTCTGGAGGACCAGCGGACACCAGACCCCCTGGGCTCTCCTCCACCAGGAAGGAAGCGAATTGCAGCCCGCAGCCTCTGGGACTCTGACTTCAGACCTCAAAGTCAAGTTGATCTGAAGGGGCTTTACCAAACTCCCCATATCCATGCTTCACTCCTCCTCCCGGACCTGCACTGTCAGAGCTGGAGGAGGACAGCTGTGATCAGGGGTATCCCCACAGGCAGGGGTTGTGGACCTTGAGAGCTGCGGCACAGAAGCTGCAGAGGGAGAAGGTCATTATTGCTAATTGAACAGCAATGTCGCAACAGAGAACAGGTAAAAGGAGGAGACTGTAGTGTTCGAAGAAAACGAGGGCAGCCACATGGTGCTCACCGAAGGACTCAAGAGGCAGGATGCAGCCAGGACAGGCCTCAGTGAGAGCCTTGGAAATTTATGTCATACTTTGCCAAGGACTCAATCAATTGAGCATGTGCTAAAGCTCAGTTTGTTTTGTCTTATTTTGAGCTTTGGAAGATATTTCCTATCTTGAATCATTGAACATGCTCCAGCCACACACCTGCAACTTCTGGAGTGCATCCTCTCGGCGAGAGGCTGGCTAGCACGTCGTCACTTGTGCAGGTCAAATCCTACTGAAAGCACATCAGACCACAGCTTTCGCACCAGTTTACTTTTACATGGAGCACATGTAAGCTAACATCTGGCAGGAACACAACTATGTCCTGAGCTAGATGCAGCTCATCGCAACAGATGGTGTGTTTGAGACTGCAGGACCAGGGCAGCTTCGCCCCGAACCGAGCATTCTTTCTCCTCCACATCTTTGCACAGAGTTGAGCTCTTGCCACAAAAGTTTCGCAGTCCCCTTGCCTCCTAGGCTGCTCCAGACTGTATGTAAAACCCAGCCTGCAGGTCACTGCCTGGTCCAAGCTCCAGGGTTATTTTGCTCCCGCAGAGGCATCTCATTGCATGAAGCAGGATCCTGGCACGACTATACCGTGCAGCAGTGTAATGTGAGGTTAGCAATACTCAGAAGCAGCTGCCACAGACAGTGCCGCCAGTGAAGGAGGAAACTACCTCGCCAACACACACGGTAGCTCTGCCAACACACACACAAGCAGTCTTGGTAGTTAGCGATCTAACAAGTTGCATCTGCTGCCCGCTTGGGGGCAAAGGATGGAGCAGTTACCAAAGAGCAGCCTCCAGTGCCACTTCTTCGAGCCTGAGAGCTTCATCCTAAAGGGAGAAACGTACGGAAGAGAAAACCTGACAGCGCACATGGAAAATACAAGACGTGACCAACCGCCTCTGCAGCCTTACCGAGTTACTGCCCGAGACTTTTCGTCCCAGGGTTATTTTGCCAGTAGAAGCACGGAGAGAGATTGCCACCTTGTGGTTCCTCCTCCCGCAGTGCCACGGCTCCGTGCGCTCCCCCAGAGCAGCGGTGTGCATCCTGCCGCCTGAGGATCTCCGGCGACCAGGGTACTATGGACAAGAGCGCTTCCCAAGCACCTACTTAACTAAAGAAAAGGAACCCCGCAGTTCGCAGCCTTCAGTTCCTGCACTGGGAAATCCCTCGGGAATCTGCAGGTTAATAAGGATGAGTAACCACTGACGCAGGTACCTAGCTTCCAAACGCTGACACAAAGCGCTGACAGGGGTGCACAAAACCAAATTGTCTTTATGATATTCTCAGCATAAGGTTTTTGGACATTTCAGGGCTGGTGACAGCCTGCTGTTGCAAAAATATGGGGTAGTGTCAGACAACGGTTCCCACATGGCCATGATAGGGACAGAGCAGCCATGTGCTCACCCCCAGCACTCACACACAGAAAGGCAGGAGCAGACTGAACTTCTCCCTGTCCCTTTGGGTATTGTTTAGGGCAATTTATGAGATCTGTTCCTTGGGTGGTACAAGTTCAGCCCAGGGGAAGGTCTGGTAAAGGAGGTTACGAGTTAACCTCTGGAAGTCATGCCCGGGTAGAGCATCAGACAGTGCTCCTCCGCTGGAGCTAGGGAGGTAGAAAGGGAAAACCAGCAAGAAACAGCACAGAGCCCCCATGAAATCCCAGGGAATTAATCAATTTTGGGAAAAAAAAAAAAAAAAAATTAGCTGCCTCTTATGCAGAGGGGGAGAGTTTCTCCCAACACAGCAAGGAGCACAGGTCTCCCCGGTAGCTCCTCATGCCTGTGTGCCTGCTGACATAGTGACGCACAAAGTGGCCCATTTTCATGGGTGTGAGGAGGAGGCAGCGCTGTTAAATGTCAGCACTGATTCACCCCACCAGCCACCTCCTATAAATCCCTCACTCGGCCCTGCCCAGCTAAGGCAGGGCTGTCTGGCTCTGCCTGAAGGCAGAGGGACTGATGGTGGGGCAGCAGGGCAAGGTCCATGGCAGCAAAAGCCTCTTGTGGCTCCGAGGGGGGTCCCCAGCACTGACGTGCTAATGTCACACACTCTCTGCTCCAGTCTCACTCCTGGCACCAGGAACACGGGCAATGGCTCTTGCAGGTGGTCTGGGCTTCAGCTTCTCCATCAGACCTAGAGCAGGGTGAAGAAGGATGCAGGTTGTGTCTTGTGTCACTGTGGATCTGGGTGCCTTCCCTGGAACGACAGAGTGGGGAGGAATAATAATGAATAATAATAATTTGGGGGGAACTCCATGATGTTTTCTGACTCGCTTCTTGCTTTGCCATTACTGAGCCTGTCAGAGATGTAAGCAAACGACTCTTTCCAGTTCCTGAGCCTCTGCTTCAAGGCTGTCCTGGGTGGTGGTCCAGGGAAGACACAACAGTTCCAGTACTAGGTGACTTGTTAGCAAGAGTTAATAGCCCTTAAGTAAATGGGGGGGATATTCAGCACATACTTCTGAAGCTGATAAATCACTTTTGCATACCACACTCTCCATCAGGTCTAGGCACAAGAATGTTTGTTCCAGAGCGATACATTTGTTTCCTAGCAAGACCACAAACTTAAAGCTGTTCTCCCATTAAAAACCAATAATAACGATGCCTCCCACAGGAAGAAGAGAGATGAAAGCTGAAAAGCAAGACGCTTGGGCCTCAGCAGACCGCAGGGGGAGGCCGGCTGCGAATCCCTCGGCAAGGCCACCGTGCTCTCCCGAGGACACTGAGCCGCTGAGCGCCGGGGGGGCGCAGCCAGCCCCCAGCCCCTCACCAGCCGGCTCCCCCGGCTCCGGGAGCGGGGCTGCGCTCCGGGGCATCCCCGGTACAGCCGGGCCAGGGGCCGCCCGCAGCGGGGATGGCTGAGCGGGGGGGCTGCCGGTGCCACCCTCCCCGTGCCACGCGTGGGCTCCGCGCAGCGCGGCTCCTCCCGCCGGCTCCCGGTCGCACGTGGCGCGGCGGCTGCCCGCCCCCCCGGCCCACGTGTGCCGCGCCGTGCCGTGCCGCGCCGTGCCGTGCCGCGCCGGCTCCCCGCTGCAGTCCCGGTGCGGCGGCGGGCGCTGCGGCATGGCGGCGGCGGGCCCGGGGCGCGGCGGCGGCTGGGGCCGGAGCCGTGGCGCCGTGCTGCTGCTCTTCTTCTCGCTGTCGCCGCGGCCGCCGGCCGGGGCCGCCTGGCTGCTGGGGCTGCGGCCCGAGGACACGGCGCCGGGCCGGGTGTCCCTGGAGGGCGGCGCGGTGCAGGCGGCCGAGGGCAGCCGCTTCTTGCTGCGCCTCTACTTCCAGCCGCCCCCCGAGGGCAACGGCAGCCGCGGGCCGGCGGGCGAGCGGGAGCCGCGGCTGGTCTTCATCGAGGAGGCGGCGGCGGCGCCGGGGGGCAAGGCGGCGGCGGGGGCGGCGGCGGCGGGGGGGGCGCGGGGCCCGGCGGAGCGGTGCCGGGAGCGCAGCGCCTGGGCCTCGGACGTGGAGGTGGTGGGGCCGCTGCGCTCGGGGGGCGCGGCGGGCTCGGCGCTGGCCGAGGTGCGGGTGCGGGAGCCCCGCAAGGGCGAGGCGGCGGCGGCGGCGCCGGGCGGGCGGCTCTTCTCGCTGTGCGCCTGGGACGGGCGCGCCTGGGCGCACCACGGGGCGGCGGGGGGCTTCTTGCTGCGGGTACGGCCGGCAGCCCCCGCGCTGGGCGCCTGGCTGCTGCCGCTGCCCGAGGCCGGCTGGCTGCGGGCGCTGGGCGCCCTGCTGCTGCTGGGGCTGTCGGCGCTGTTCAGCGGGCTGCGGCTCTCGCTGCTGTCGCTGGACCCGCTGGAGCTCCGCGTCCTGCGCAACAGCGGCTCGGCCGCCGAGCGGGAGCAGGCGCGGCGGGTGCAGGCGGTGCGCGGCGGCGGCGGCACCTACCTGCTGTGCACGCTGCTGCTGGGCCAGGCCGGGGCCAACGCGGCGCTGGCCGGCTGGCTCTGCGCCTCGCTGCCCGGCGGAGGGCCGGCGGCGGCGGCCGGAGGGCCGCGGGGAGCGCCCTGGCTGCCGGTGCTGCTGTGCGCCGCCGCCGTCTTCCTGGGCGGCGAGGTGCTGCCCTACTCGGTGTGCTCGCGGCACGGGCTGGCCATCGCGTCGCGCACCCTGTGCCTCACCCGGCTGCTGATGCTGGCCGCCTTCCCCCTCTGCTACCCGCTCAGCCGGCTGCTGGACTGGGCGCTGCGGCAGGAGCTGAGCGTCTTCTCCACGCGGGAGCGGCTGTTGGAGACGCTGCGCGCCGCCGGCCCCCACGGCGACCTGGTGCGGGAGGAGTTGGCCATGGTGCAGGGCGCGCTGGAGCTGCGCACCAAGGTGGTGGAGGACGTGCTGACGCCGCTGGCCGACTGCTTCATGCTCCGCGCCGACGCCGTGCTCGACTTTGCCACCGTCTCCGAGATCCTCCGCTCCGGCTACACCCGCATCCCCGTCTACGAGGGCGACCGGCGCGACAACATCGTCGACCTGCTCTTCGTCAAGGACCTGGCCTTCGTCGACCCCGACGACTGCACCCCGCTGCAGACCGTCACCCGCTTCTATCGCCGCCCGCTCCACTGCGTCTTCAACGACACGCGCCTCGACACGCTGCTCGAGGAGTTTAAGAAGGGTGAGGCTCAGCCCTGCACCCCCTCTGCACCCCCAGTGGTCCCTGATCAGCAGCCCTCCATGGCCCACCCTGCATCACCTCGTGGTGGGACCTGGCAGGTACCGGGGATCATGGGGGGAGTCGGGCCCTGCATGCGCTGCTGTGGTGGTGACCTTGGTGTCCCCTGGGGAACCAGCCCCTGGGTGGACGGATGGAGGGCCTTCAGTGCTGGCCATGCCTGAGATGTTAACGGATACCATCAGAACCTGCAGCCCCGGAGGCTGCTATCCCACAGGTGAGGCTGGCTCGCAGGGCCTGATGTCACAGCGGGGCTGGCACGGGGCACAGCGCCTGCCCTGCATCCCTGCCTGGGCAGGGCAGCGCTCACTGCTCTCATCTGCATGGGGGAGTTTGTGGCAGGAGATCACATCTCATTACTCTGCTCTCACGTTTTCAGCTTAGCAGTGAGAAGCAGTTCTAGAAAGTATTTCCATGCAAGTAGTTAAAAGGAGGAAAAAAAAAAGCCTAAACCCTTAGAACAAGCTCTACTTTCTTTGCAGCTGTGATGCTATTAATAATGCAGCAGCTGCCAGCAGCTCCAGCGGAGGCTGAGAGTTGTGTTTCATTAACCCTACCTTGAGAATACACACAGCACGCATTTTCTTTTCCCCACTGGGAATTGTGAAGCGCTTTGCTGCGTGATGTTCGGTACGTCATACCACGGTGCGTGAACCTTTAAGAAATGGCTGCAGCAGTGACATCCTGCGTTATGTAATGCACGATACACTCGGCTCCCCGGCTGCCTGTGGCCTCTCTGCTGCAAGCAGAGCTGATCATGTGAGAAGGGCCAATCTGGTCCATCCCAGATACTCTCTGTGAGTCATCCCCATGCTCGTTTTTGGAGCTAGGGGTCACTGGGGCATAGGATGTTGCCTGCACACTGGGAAAATCATCAGAAACATGCAGGTCAGCATCCTCTCCAGAGATGCACAGAGTCGTCCCCAGCACCGAGAAGGATCGCAGGGAGAGTTCTGTGTGGCACAAAACACCCAACCTCTGTGCCCTACAGCATAACGGGGGACTCCCAATGTGGTGCAAACCAGCGAACCCCTGTTTTTAATAACAAGGCTGAGAGCAAAAGCATTACGATTGCTTTCTGTGTTTAACCTTGATGATTTACAGGACCTCCCCCCAATACCTCTCTTAACACAACCAGCAGTGTCTCCTCTTCCCAGTTCCTCATGTGCCTTGCAATTCTTTCATAACTCTGTTTTCCTGCATGATGCTACAATGTCACTGAAGTTCATGTGAGATCCCCACTGCCTCTGCCTTGCCTAGAGAGTCAGCTGTTACCAAAGACATCAGACGAGGTGGGCAGAGTCTCCTCGTCAGCTTCCCCTGCACTTTATCCGATTTCCTTTGATGTATCCAAATACTTTTCCTTCCAGATTTGTTTGACAGCCCGGTACCCTATGGATCAATAGATCTATATAAATGGACTTGTGGTTGCTCAGCTCCCTGCCCTTTGCTTGCCCTCCTTCCCCCTCCTCCTCTTGGATGTTTTCTGTGTGTCACTCCCTCAAGTGGCAGGCGCACTAACAAGCCTTGCTACCAGCCTTCCACTGCCCTGTACTAGCCTTCATCCCAAATGAAGACTTTCCAGCCTTCTCCAGCCTTGCTCCATTAAACTCTCAGCATTTTGCTTCGGGTTCTTCCTCCCCTACATCTGTTTGCCATCACGGTCTTTTGGGGCATTTTGCTACAGCACTCATGTAGAGCTGTCCCTAGAACTTCTTTCTGTTCCAATCTCATTTCTCCTTGTGTTTCTTTAAATCACATGGCTGAAAAGTCTTGCTTTTGGTCTTACAACATAACTCAGCTTGGTGTTTAGCAATTCCAGTTCTTCCCCCACATCTTCTTATCCTTGGATGTTGTTGTTCTCTTCCAATTAATCTTTCCGCTATTTGCAGACCTCCTGTTTACCCCCAGTACCTCATATTTGTAGTTGTCCACCCCCAGCTACCCCTAGTCCAGGCCTGAACCCCTCCTAAACTCTCATTTCCCAGTTCTCAGCACAGGCTCCTGCTCCACCACAGATGTTCGCTCCCAGCTGCCTCCAGTCACATCCACTGCTGTCTCAGGCTAGTTCACTTGACTATTTAATTTCGAAAATAAAGATTTCCCATTTGTAATTAAGAATCTTAATCACTGTCTCATTTTCTGTGTCCATGTGAATTGTGTTGAAATATCTCACTTGATCCAATCGAGATTGCCTTCCGTGGCCAGGTCTTCTGTGACACCTCTAATTAGTGAGCAGGTTCATTGCTTGTTGGCTCAGTGAGTGGTTAATGAAGGCATTCATCACTTCACACATCCAGGGTGTCAGCAGGACAGCAACTGCTCCCACTGATAAGGCCCAATCTCTTTCTAGGAAATTAAAGTCTCCGCTAATGATGGGCATTGCTAACCAGGTCCCCAGGTTCGTGACAAACTTCTAGAGCGACCTTTCTAGATTTCTTTTCCTTCTCCCATGATTAACACTTTTTGTATCCTTTATTTCTTTGGGTTATTGCGGTGTTTATACAAAATACCCATCACATTTTGTATCTTTCTTTCCTCGATAGCAGTATATACTTCAGGATCTGTGTCTCGCTAGTGATTAATGTTCTGCCACATGCACTGTGCCTATAATGTCATTTTTTGCATAATGCGTAAGTAACATTCAATTTCACTGCCTGAGCTCCTTGCCATAGTACACAAACATTTGTTCTTACTGGAAATGTCAGAGTATGATTAAATACAGCACTTTGTGACTCTTGCTTACACCTCCGTTAGCGCTTTCCCTTTTCTCTCTCCCCTCCTACTCTCTGCAATCATGCTGCATTAGCCTTGTTTACCTGATGCATTTTTATCTCACTGTGCTATCCTAGCTATGAAGATTATCAGTTTTCTCCCCCTTTCCAGTCTTCAAACAGGGTTTGAAGTTTTCCTGCATTAGTTTCTAGGTATGCCCACAGATAACTGTGTTTGAGCTCAATTCCCTTCAGACGCGCTGATGTCTGCCTCAGGTTTCACCCACACACAGCAGAGTCCCAGAGTCCCCCTTTTTCCTGAGCAGGGCTTGGGGCAGGTGCAATTACCCTGCCATGGGGCTGGGGAAGGGCACTTCTAGCCTTTGGAGCATCCAATTTCCAAAAACGTGTAAACCAGATAAAAACAGCAGCACAGGCTTCAGTAGTACCTGGGGAGCTGGTGTGGTTGCAGTGCCCAAGAGCAGCTGTGAGCTCCTGCCCCATCACAGCAGAGATGTGGCCAAACCTTTCCCACCTGCTCTTTCACAAGCTTGCTCCTGGCATCCTTTGATGACTGTCTCCTGGAGAAGGATGGTTAAACTGGGGGCACTGGTGGGAACTGGGACAAACCCAGAGAAGGCTGCAAACAGCAGCAGAGGGGAGAGCTGGCCTGCGAGAGGAACAGCTTGGACTTCAACTGGCAGCCTGAGAGAACAGGTCAGCTGCTAAAGCTGTGTTGGAAAATGGCATTACAGCAGCGTGGGGCAGCTCCAGCTGATGGCAGGAAATGCTTGCGGTTTTGGCTTGATCTCCTCAGTCATCTCAGAGTACCTGGCTTTATTCTAGGCTCACAGCAGGAGTTACCTCATACACCAGGAAAATTGCTGCACCATATTTAACAAAGTAAGGCAAGGTAGAGGGGCAGATGAGGTCCCAGTAAGATAAACTTCACCTGAGGAGAATTGAGCTAGGAGGAAAGGTTTATGCACACATTCAGTGTGAAATGCTGCAGGCAATGCAATGCAGTCTGCTTCCCCTCCACCCCCAGAAGATAACCAAAGCAATGCATGGTGCACCTCCAGCCCTGTGGTGTAACTCCACAGGGAGCACTTCCCTGAGGTGCACCACCTTGTTCCCTGTGTGCCTTTGGGAAGTCACGGTCTCTGCCTATTAAGTCATTTATGGATTCTGCTGGCACATTTCCTGGGGGGATTTCTATATTCAGAAGTGGTACCTTTCAGCAAATAACCTTCCCTTGTCAGAGGAACGGCGGAAATTTGCTCTTACAGTCATCTTTCTTCAGTAGGCCAGAGACTGAGATGCAACTCAAATCATTCTTCAGTGGTTTGGTGTCTTTTAAAAGACACTAAAAGACAGTTCTCCAAAAGCAAGCTTCCTGGCTTAGCAGGGAAAACAGCCTGTTCTGTCAAGGACAATTTTGCCCTAGGGTCTGGCTTTGCTCTTAAAAAACAATCCACAGCCTCTATTATTAATAGATTTCCACAAATCGAACGTAGCTGGAAGAGGTGCCGTGCTCAGGCTTGCCAGGAGTGGGGACCGGTCCCATTTCAGCTGCTTTTCTTACTGCCCTCCTCCTGAGCCCACGGTCACCACAAGCACAAAGCTGGCCTGAGCTTTAAACCAACCAGTAGGAGATTTTTGCGAGTGGGACTGTTGCTGTCTTGGACATCCTGGTGGGATGAAGCCCTGCCCTCTGCAGCCAGTTGTACGAGCTGAGGAGCCCGTTGTCATCCAGGACCCGTCCCATCCACGTGCGCTGAGCAGCGATCGCCAGGCTGGGAGTGGGTGAGGTGCTGATACACAAAAGATGGTTTCAATGACTCACGCTGCGTCTCTGCCTGAAACATTACTTCAATTTTCCCCAAAACACCATGCTAAGTCTCATTGTGTGAAATGCTGTGCTGCTACACCCCGCCCTAGCAAACCCGAAACCAGTTTGCCCTGGGGAGGCATCCAGCAGGGCCAGAGGGGAGCTGTGTCCTCGGGAGAGGCACCCAGCTGCCCAGTGCCCTCTAGGCCTCTTGGGAGCTGTGGGAAAGAATGAAGTGTTCCATGCTACAGACACCATGGAAAAGTTTTGCAATCAGCCTTTTGGAAATGTGTGGGGTTTTAGCTTGAGTCTTAACACCCTCAGTACACTTCCCTAGTCTGCAAGGAACACGCAAGAAAAGCATTTGTGGACAGGCAGATTGAGAGCCAGGAGGCCAGAGCCCTCTTGTACAGCAGAGGGAAGATGAGACTCCGTGTCTGGTCTAATCTCCCTCTTACCCTCCTCATCTGTTGTCAGCCATAAGCCATCAACTACCCCAAATAGCTTATGTCCCCTCTTTCCCCCAGTTTTTCTTAGGATTAGGAAAAGCACCACAGCGGAGTTTGAGAAAGGCTTTTGTACACCAACAAAGACAGAAGCAAGCAGATGAAATTCTCATCCCTGAGGAAGTCTGGATTAGGTTAGGATTCGTGGTTTTCCCCTTTTATAGGGCTGATTCCCCACAGAGCCAGGCACCCTGCAGCCCTGCTGGGCATCCCCCTGGTGCCTGGGTACAGACATGTGTTGCCTCATGGAAGCAGCTCCTCAGACGCGTGGCTTTATACTCAATGCAGGAGCCTGGTGACACAAGAGCAGTCTCACTCAAAGTTTTCAGCTCAGAGTCCCCAGTTAGTTCAGATACAAGTCTGCAGAGAGGCACGGAGCTGCTGGCAGCACCCCCAGCCCAGAGAAGAGCTCTGATGAGAAGCACACGGAGAGCAGATTTTACTTGCATTGTAGTTGTTTCTTGAATCCAATTCACTTAGCAATTACTATTCTTTTGCTTTCCATTTTGTAGCTGTAAATTATTTGTGGCTTGTGCCTGTACCTTGATTTCATTGGAACAGCTTTAGACTTCACAGTAAAATTCACAAAAATAAATTTCGTACTCGGAGCGCTCATCACGTGGAACAAGAGACATGACTGAAGCATCTTCAACATTCCTCTGGCAGAGCACCTACATAAAGAAATGATAAGGAAGTAGTGTGGGCTATATTTGCAGCCAACAGCACTTTCTTTCCCACAAGCAGAGGCATTTCCATGTGTTCAGACTGTATTCTCCCGCTGGGGAGGATGCTTTGAGGTGGATCTATGAGCCCAAGGTCATTTAGGTACCAGCAAAACCCAAGGCTCCTAAAAATGGGTATAAAAGCTTTATATATCTGTTCGGATACTTGCTCCTTCCGGAAGCTTTCAGCTCTTTATATTAGCTCTGTAATTTTGCATTTTGAGGCATTAACTTTCCAGAGAAGCTGTTGTTTGAGAAGAGCAGATTTCGTGTGGCTCATAAAGAATTCAGCACAGTTGTATCCTGTGCTGAGCAGACACTTAATCACCTATGGACTTCCTGTGTGAGAGCAGTCCTGCCGAGGCCACTGGAGCTATTCACACAAGTAAAGTTAGTTGTCCATTTGTTTGAGCATTTGCCAAGCCAAGGCTTTGATTCTCAAGAGTTTCCCAGTGCTTTCTTGCAGCAGTGATCTCCCTGTAAAATTTGCATGACAGCCTGCTAGCAGTGGAACAGCTCGCCCTTATAACTCATTTCGCTGGAGCTATCAAGCAACAATTACAAAAGCACAGTTTTTGGAATCAGTTTTACAGATCTTAAAGCTGGTTTAGATCAAGTTTGTTGTTTTGTTTAAGTGATTTATTGCTCTTCATTGTGCTCCCACTGCAGCCGACCTGCAGGGTGGTGCTGGAGAAGAGACTGCCACCCTCTGCCGTCCTCAGCTGCATCCCCATACCACCCTCCTTCCCTCAGACACATCTTCCACCTCAAAACATTACCCAACTTCTGCCCTCATACCTGCTCCCACAGCTACCGCCTGTCCTCTGGCCAAGCACAGCAGCCCACAGCCAGGCAAACACCCCCACATGTAGCAGCACCCCCAGCCAGAGTGCTGGCACACCTTGCTGCCCTCCTGAAAGGCCTTTTAAAAGAGCGATGGGAGGAAATGCAGAACCTAGCAGGTGTGGGGGCAGCAGGTTAGAAAGTGGTACTGGGGCCCTCGGGGGGGAATCAGTGGCAAGGTGGGTGCAGCTGGAAGCAGTGAGAAGTGCTCCCGTCTGGCTGGGAGGGAGGTGTGGGTCATTTTTGTGATACCAGCATCAGCTGGCTGGGCAGGGGCTGAGACCAGTGCTCTCCTTGTGGGGCAGGAGCAGCCACACGAGTTGCAGCCAGTTTCCACTTCTGGGTACCTGCTCTGCTTCTAGTGTGGGTGTTAGCCGGGAAACCTAAACCAGAGGGTTTATAGCGTGGCTCTGAGTGTTTATTTTCTGTGAAAATAAAGAACCCTTGAGCACTCTAACAGCCCTCCTGGCTCTGCCCCCAGTGTGGTGAAGCCCTGGGTCTCCTCCCAGCACGGTGGTGCCAGGTTATTTCTAAATAGTCTGATTTGCTGCTCTGTGAGCGTGGGGCTGGGATCGCATTTCTCTGTGGCCGCCCTAGAGTAATTACAGTGTCGATGTAGGTGTTTGGCCAAGAAAAGAATTGCCTCCATTACTCTCTGACTGCCTTTAAGTAGCACCTAAGCTTTTTGTAAGGGTTTGGTGGTTTTGGGTTGCATGTAAATGTCATTAACAACAAGCTTTTGGCCAAAAGAAATAACTTTTCCCCTCTCCTCGCTCACCCGCGGACTTGGAGGAGACCAGATGGCCCCAGTGTTTGGGAGTAGGGTTTTGGCAAAGGAGTCATTTTCAAAAGTTGGACTTTGCTGAGATGAAACGTAGCTGTTGCTGCTGTGCTGCAGCCAACTCTGCTTCTTTTTGCTTTTTAAGTCTTGAGTCGAGTTGCTTTATTACCCGCCACACAGACAATGTGCACAAACCCTTGTGTGAGGTGAGGGAAATAGCCTGGCCAGCAGAACGCACCGAATTCTCAGTGCCCTGAGGCTATTGATTTGTTTTGTAAAATGCATCTCCAGCTTTATGGGAAGAACAACAGTGCTACTTGCGGTGATGTTATGTTCTCATTTCTAATTCTGTAGGCGTGGGAGGCAGCGAGCTGCTCTCTGAAATCTTGCAATAAAAGCTTGGTATGAGGAGGAGGGAATTTATACTGTGGAAAATGCCCAAGCTTTTTTCTGTGAGAAATGTATAGTGCTGATCTTCGTCTGAGAAATAGCGTTTGCTCGCCTCGGATCCAGGGCAGGGTTGTTTGAAGGTCGCATGTTCCCCAGAAGGATGCGTTTGGTGGGGCTCCAGGCTGCCCTGGATGCAGAAGTCACCAGCGGGTGAGGAGGAACCTCTGCAGTAGGCAGGAGCCCACCCACATTGCATTCCTGTACCCAGATAGTGGTCCTGGCCCAAGTGTAAATGGGAGAAGCAGAGGCAGAGGCACAAGGGAAGTGCTCCCCTTTCAGGTAACCATTGCTGCTCGAGGAGCTCAGCTCTGCATCTTTGGGGGGAAAAAGGGTGTTTTCAGCATTCACAAGGGCCCTGAAGTGCCCATTGGAGGGGTAGCTTTGTGCAGGGCTAGCGCCAGGGAAACAGAGAAGAAACAGAGGGGAAATTGTTGGATGTGGTGCTGATGAAGGACATTTTTAGTGTTTTCAGCAAAAGAAGAGGTCCAGAACCTGTGCGCACTGCTGCAATGTGCGGGAGCCACAGTAAGTAGAGCTGGCAGGTCTGAGGTGACATCTGAGCTGGAAACCCAGGAGTTGTGCAGGGCTTGGGAGTTGGGTTCTAGTCAAGCTGTTGAGCAGGAGCATAAATCAGAACAGACAATAAGGGAAGGGAGAAGTTGAACAAGTCAAAACTGCTTACAGAGAGCAGAGCTGGACACGCGAAAGCAGATAGTGATGTTTAAAGTATGCCAAAAGCAAGAAGCCTGAGAATGTGTCAGCACAGCTGCCAGCTTACTGAGGGCAAGCGAGGAAGCTGAAATTGTGATTGAGAAACACGGTGGCTTCTGAGCAGGAGCCACCATCCCTGCAGCTGAAGGCAGGTCCTGCTCCCGGTCTGTGTAAGGTAACGGGGTGCTCTCAGGGCAGGGTTTGGAAAAGACGTTCAGCTGCAAGCCAATTGCTTGAAAAGGGCTCAGCCTCCCCATCCAGATGGTTCACCCAAGAGTTCGGCAGGAGCCGAGCTGAAAGCTGCAAACAAACATATGCATTTCTGCATTAAAACCAGCTGCTGTTCAGCCGAGCTGGAGGCTTTGCCTGCGTTTTAAGAAAAACTTTCGGATCGGTCCAGACAGTGATGGATAGAAAGATGTGGGGGAGCTGTTCCTGGCAATTTGGTAGGAAAGATAATTAACAACAGAATGAGAAAACACCAGGAGGACGAGGGAAACCAGTAGAGCCCAAGGACACGCTCACCTTTCTGTTGGAGGACACTGTCTCCTTCCTCACTTAGAGCTGTCTCGTGCCAGCGAGGCGGTGGGTAAGCAAGATGCAGCTGGCACAACGTACACACAAGAGGCTGCCAAAGAGCTAAACAGGGGGTTTTGCTCATTAAAGAAGGCAAGCAGCCCCAAAGAAGAGCTGGGCAGACTCCTGCGACACCCCCAAGGCATCAGCCTGACAGTGGCTGATGGCTTCTTCTTCTTCTCCTCCTTCTTCTCCAGGGTTAGCACAGCCGGGGTGGGTTTGGGTGATGGGAACCGCTTCAAGGTGCGGCTGTGCCCCCACCCAGCCCTGTCCTGCCAGCCCACGGTGCTGGGGATACCTCACGTGGGGTGGGGGTCTCAGTGCTCTCCCCTGGGGTGGGGGTCTCACTGCTCTGCTCTCCCACCGCAGGGAAGTCCCACCTGGCCATCGTGCAGCGGGTGAACAACGAAGGGGAAGGAGACCCGTTCTACGAGGTGATGGGCATTGTCACCCTGGAGGATGTCATTGAGGAGATCATCAAGTCCGAGATCCTGGATGAGACGGATCTGTACAGTTAGTGTCCCAGAGCAGCTACTGCGGTGGTGGGAGCCCACAGACAGATATATGGGAAGGAAATGGGCCAGAGAAAATTGCGGTCCTTCCCCAGAGCACTTAATGGGCAGTGGGAAAGACGAGAACGATGGAGAGATGCTGGTCAAATGCTAGGGAGTCTTGAGTGCTTGAGACAGACCAGCATCAGACTCATGCCCAAGACAGAAGTGTACTTCACCAGGGAGCTGCTCCTGGGGCCATGATGCCCAGCACTATTTGTCCACCCCACTGCTGCCCCAGCCCCACCACAGCATGAGCAAGACGAGCTCTGCACGTGGGTGCTGCTGGCCTCTGGGGGTAACTTCCACTCTTTGCCCACAGCGGACAACCGCAAAAAGGAGCGTGTGCCCCACCGGGGCCGCAAGCCCCAGGACTTCTCCATCTTCAGGCTCTCGGACAGCGAGATGAAGGTGAAGATCTCCCCCCAGCTCCTCCTGGCTACGCATCGATTCATGGCGACAGGTACCCTATCCCCAGGGGATATGTGTGACACAATGCGCAGCAGCGGGTGTTCGGGGTCCTGCATCTCCCTGCAGCAGGACCAGGCACCCCTGAGCTGGTCCTCATTTGAGCTTCCCACCACCAGCAGCAATTTCTGCTTGCCTGGTCCACCCCAGGCTTCTCTCTGCCCTGCCAGCACGGTCTGTGTCTGTCTCCCCTGTGCTGGTGCTGTGGGGAGGGGGCTGCTCAGCTCTGGGGGTGGCAAGTTCCCGGCACCCCACAAAGTCCTGGCCCCGCTGAGCCAGCCTGTGGTGCCTCCCCTGTAGAAGTGGAGCCCTTCAAGTCCCCCTACCTCTCCGAGAAGATCCTGCTGCGGCTCCTCAAGCACCCCAACGTCATCCAGGAGCTCAAGTACGACCGTAAGAACAAGAAGGCTGCCGAGCATTACCTCTACCAGCGCAACCGCCCCGTCGACTACTTCGTTCTCATCCTGCAGGTGTGGGGGCAGAGGGGCCGGGGAGCCCCCTGCTGCGTGGTGGCACGGGGTGGCCCATCTCGCCTTGCTCTTGGCTGCTTCTGCAGCAGGGCTGGCTCTGGGGTTTGTAAAGGATGCAGAAATTCCCACCTTCTTGTGGGGTGGCAGGGACCCCACAGTGGGGCAGTGGGCAGGGGCATGGGGGGCCCCGTCTGAGCAGGTTTCCCTCCTCCTTCCAGGGAAAAGTGGAGGTGGAGGTTGGCAAGGAAGGGCTGCGGTTTGAGAACGGGGCGTTCACCTACTACGGCGTCCCTGCCATTATGGCCATCGTCTCCTCAGGTAAGGGCTCTGCAGGCCCCCTCCAGCCCTGCCCTCGCTTCCGTGGCTGGGAGATGGAGCTGGACGTGGCTACAGGGTGGGATGGCACATGGGACCCCTCCTCTGCGACTCATGCGCCTTCAACTCTCATTTCAGATAGCGACGTGCGGAAAGTGAGCAGCCTGGCTGGGTCCTCCTTCCTGCGTAGGTATTTGGGAGAGGCTGGGGCTCCCACACCTCTCCGGCTGGAGGGGCGATGGGCTCGCTCCCTAAAAGAGCAGCTCTGGCTCTGCTGCGGGGTCAGAACTCGCTGAATTCAGACTGATGGGAGGTGCAGGGAGGGATGTTGTTGAGGCACAGGGGGAGTGCTGGCCCGGGGGCAGCACTTGTACCTGGCACAGGACATGAGCATGGTTCTTGTGTGTGCCCTGAGGCAGGGGCAGAGGCACAGGTGTGCAGAGCTTGCACCAAACCCCACAGAAACGTGAGCGTGAGTAGCGGGTTACAACAGGGAATGTGGACATGAACCCTTCAGCATTTAACCACTTGTTATTAATTAACCCTGGTTACGTAACCTTTTTATTGCCTGGGTATCTTTGGTGTCAGCGACCAGGGCAGGTGTGAGGCGAGAGCTGGCCTGGAGCAGGGGCACAGCACGGGAGGGTTGGGCACCGAGTGCCGGTGTTATTGCCCCGACCTTTGCTCCCTGCTGGCCGAGGCTGCTCTGTCAGCGCCTGGTGCTGCTGCCACTGCTTGGACATTTATTTGCAGACAGTTTGGGACCAGGGGAGGACACAGCCAGGCGTTACTGGGGGAGGAGCAGGAGATCAGAAGGAGGAGGCTGCGGGGCAACCTTTCTGTGGATTTTGGCTTGGAAGTAGCTGAAAACTATTTGGCAGATGGCTGCCAGAGTGTTGCAGCTCTGCTCTGAGCCCAGTCAGTGGAGGGCAGGCAGCGTGCAGGGTGCCAGCACGGGGCTGCTGGGCAGAAGATGCTTTCTGCCCCCTCTGTGGCTCCAGGGGGATCTGTAACCATGCAGACAGAGCCTGGCAGGGGCTGGTCCCCCCTAGCCTTGCCTTTTTCACAGCATTGGGGTCTGTGTCCCTCTTGGTGTCCCTGTTCTCAGGGCCGGTGGGTGCCTCCTGCCAGAACAGCCCCAGGGGGTGTAAGGAGTGGGAGCTGAGGGGGTGAGGGGAGCCCAGCCTGGGGCTGCTGGCACACTTCTCATCCTCATTTTTCCTCTTGGCCTGTCCCTCTCCTTACCACCTCCTTGTGCTTTGCCTGCCCGTCCTTCCCCCACCCATCTCTTGCAGTGCCTGTCTCGGTGTCCCGTACCTTCGCCTTCAGCAGAGGGGACTCCCTGGCTGGCTCACCAGGTAACGGTGCGTGGCTCAGGGAAGGGGTCCCTGCGTGTGCCAGGCCCCCCTGAGCTCCCGGTGACCCTGCAGCACCCCACAGCGGGCAGCCCAGGGGCACAGGGAGCTGCACGGGTGCCTCACCCCCCTCTGCCCATGAAGAAAGGGATGGGGGCAACTGGGAGCCAGAGGTGGCTTGGGCTTTTTTTTTTTGCTGGGTGGTTTCCATAAGTTTAAATTCCTGCACGTGCTGCTTGTGCTGAGTTTTCTGGCTGCTTGCTGCTGCTGACCGCGGTTACGCACAGCTCTGCGTGCACGCTGCCCTGCTCGGCTTGCTTTCCGGGAAGCCAGGTAATAGAAGGGCGTTCCAGCAGCACAGTCAGCAAAAAAAAATGGTGACATTGCCCGTGCAAGGAACAAGCTGCCTTTGTTCCCTAATAAATCACCGGCCAGACAAAATCCATCACGCTGCGTGTCAGAGGCCATCGGTCAACGTGAGTGACGGGCCAGCTGGCCTCTGCAGCCCTGCTCCCCTCGGGTAGGACACCCTGCACCGGGGACACGTGCCTGCCTGCCTGCCTGCCGGCAGGGTGGCCCCGGGAGCACAGCGCCCTGGTGCGCAGGGGACAGAGAGGACCCCCACGAGGGCTTCCTCCAGGGGAGATGAGCCAAAGGGCACAGCCTCTGGAGGTGACAGGGATCCCCTGGCCCTACTCCAGCAGCAGAAGCCTGCTCGGCAGCACAATGTTTTCCTCTCATCCTTTCTCGCCCCGGCCCTCCCCAGTGAACCGGTCACCCTCGCGGTGCAGTGGGCTCAACCGCTCCGAGTCCCCAAATCGGGAGCACAATGACTACGGGGGCAGCACCACGCAGCTCTACAGCAGCAGCAACAACATCTACACTCCCGACTACTCCGTGCACATCCTCTGTGACGTCCAGTTTGTCAAGGTATGGCTGGGCTGGGCTGGGCTGAGCTGTCCCACCCCGGCCCTTCCTGCGTCCCTGGGAGCATCTCGGTGCCCGCAGAGCCAGCTGAGCCGCGAGCGTGTCTCTGTGTGCCCAGGTCACCCGGCAGCAGTACCAGAACGCACTGGTGGCCAGCCGCATGGACAGCTCGCCCCAGTCCCCCGACATGGAGGCCTTTGACAGGGACTCAACCAAGGCTTCGACCGCTCGGGGCACCCCGCAGACACCCAAGGAGGATGCTACCGCCCTCCTGAACGAGAGGAACAGCATCATGTGTGAGTCACCCCACGGACACCCCTTGCCTGCCATGTGCGCTTATGCCCCCATCCCTGCCACCATGCCACCCCGCAGCCTCACCAGCCCCCGTGACCCCGCAGGCAGCCGGCCCGAGGGGCAGCGCAGTCCCAGCGACTCTGTGTGCCTGCGCATGGAGGCCATCCCCTTCATCCAGGAGGAGCTGCCTGAGCACGAGGACAACAGCAAGCAGCAGGGTGAGTCCGTTCAGGGGCAGAGCCCGGGGGCGGCGAGGCCATGTGCTGCCCCGGGGCGCTGCAGCCAGGCTGGGCTCTTGCAGACAGGGAGTGCTGCGGCACCGGGCTGGAGGCAGAGTCCTCGGGCAGGGAGGCTGGGACCGGCTCCTCTCCCAGCAGCAACGAGGAGACCCTGGGCAAGAGGCTGCTGAGATCGCTGAGTGAGTGACCGACCGGGGAGGGAGCGCCCCGGGGTGCTCAGCGCCCTTCTGCCCAGGTCTGAAGCGCGTAGGGCTCACCCCCCCGACCCCCTGCACCCCTGTCCCTGAGCACCCTCGCCCCCAGCCCTGGGGCATCCCCACCCCAGCCCCCTTGGTGCCACTGCTGCAGGTGGGCGCAGGCAACGCCAGTCTCCAGAAGGTGAGAAGGTGCCGGAGGAAAGCTCCAACCTCGCCCCGCTCATCACCTGAGCAGCAGCGTGGCCGGAGCACGGTGCTGGAGGCCCATGTGGACCAGAGGTAAGAGCCTGGCCCTCCTTGTGGTATTCCTCCCCCAGCAAGGGGGAGGGCGCTTGGTTTTAATGGTGAGAAAATCAAGTTTGCTGTTGTTGAAGCAATGTGGGTTGGAGGGCTGCAGAAAGACCCACCCAGAGCTGACATGGGTGAGGGCAGCCCCATGCAGGCACATGCAGCTGGGGGCTGGGCACGCAGCAACAGAGTCCAACCACCCTCAGGGATGGAGCAGAGGTTAGGGAGAGAGCAAGACCCCCAACTCGTGTATTTTCACAGATAGGAACGTGTCTGCACCCGTGCCACAGAGCTCGGTTGGGGTGCCGCAGGACCGAGCGGCGTCAGGGCAGGCTGTCCGTGTGTCTTCCAGGTCTGCAGCATGGGGGTCTCCTGCCGCGAGGCTCACGTCCAACAGCAGCAGGTCTGCACTCGCTCGCTGCCCACCCGCCTGCCCGCGCCGCCCCTCCCTGCAGGCCCCATCCCCAGGCGAGAAAGGATGAGCCCCTGGGGGGGCCGAACCACCCAGGCGGCAGGGACCAGCTCACAGCAGCCCCGGGGCCCTCGCCCAGCTGCTGCCTGGTAGCATCTGGTCCCGAGGAAGAGGTGGAGGAAGGAAAAGGGGAGAAGCGTTCCCTGCGGCAGCGCAGGGAGGGGCGGCCCGACCCGAACTGCCCTCAGCATCATTGCCCATCCCCATCCCCGCGAGGCCCGGAGCCCCTCGGTGCCGGGCGCTGCACGGACGTGGTCTCCGCCGTCAGGAGAAGATGCTTTTTGGGGGGTGCCACGTGCAGCTCAGGGCCCCAGGACACGTTCGTGCCGTGCCCGGCGCCACACACATCGCAGCACACGCTGACCATCGCCGCAGCCCTCCCCGGGGGGGACGGCCGCTCCACGCCGCGCTCACCCGTCCTCCCCGTGAGGGAGGCTCGGGCCGAGCCCCCAGGGGGCACAGGCCAGGCCGTAGTTTTTGTAGAAGCTGACTGCAACGGGGATATCAGCATTAAAGGTGATTTCTCCCCGAGTGAGGCCCTGTCTGCGTGAGGGGGGGGTACGGGAGGCACATGGACACCCTCCTAGGCCAGGGGGCTGGGTCAGGCCCAGAAACCCTCACACACGTGTGCCAAGGGAGGAGGCAGATGTCCAGATCAACAAATGTTTCCCATTTTCCCCCTGCCCTCCATGAACACAGGCTCCTGGCCAAGGGAGGGGGGGGCAGGCCTTCCCTCAGACCTGCCACCAGGCAACCCTCAGCAGGGTAGGGTCAGACCTCAGAGGAGGACTGGGGCAGGAGAAAGGAGTTAATGATCCACCACCACAAACACAGCAGTGGGGTACACGTGCTGGAGCACCGCCTGACAGATAACTAATCTCACAGTTCAGCCATGCTGATAAAACCTCAGCCAGACTAAGTGCACCCCAGCCTGGGGACTGCCCTGCTGAGGAGGCAGAAAGCAACAGCCAGGAGGCCAGAGGAAAGCAAGGGCTGGCAAACAGCCGACCCCGAGGGGCTGAAGGCAACGGGGTCGCTTCGTCTGAGCTGGTGAAGGAGGTGGAGAGGAAGTTTTCACACACATAAAAAGCCTTTGGAAAAGAGAAAAGGAATAATCTGTTCTCTGTTGCCATGGTAAGTGGGATAATGGTAATGAGCTTACACCACAGAGAAGGAGAAATTTAGGTCACTCATTAGAAAAAAGAAGCCTGGTAAGTGCAGCAAAGTGCTAGCACAGATCATGCGGGTGGGCCAGGCTCCACACCTACAGGTCTCTAGGAAGTAGAGCCAGAGGTCAGGACTAACACAAGTTGGTTCCTTGACTCTTTCTCCTGCAATCACCCCTGCAACTCACCTGTTGACCATCATCACCCCCACTGTGGGTGGACACCAAGAGGAGAAAAAGCCCCCCACCTGTCCCTCTGCACAAAGGCTGCTTCTGCTTCACTGACTTGTGTGATGTGAGCGACTGATTGAAGAGGGACAGACACCGGGGCGCACGAGTCCCCTTGACCCAACAAGGGGAGCAATAACAGGGGCAAGGAAGATTCCTGAAGGCCACAAGGCATTCTGCTTCGTTGCAAAGACCCCTGACAACCAAGAGGCACACTGCAGACAGGAAGGAAACAACAATTTCCCCGTTTGCTTTCTAAGCTGCAGCACAAGCAAAATCCATCAGGACGGTAGTGACTGTCACTGACTAACCCTGTTCCCCTTTCCTCATCAGGGTTTTGGCAGGAGTCTGCCGTATCAAGGTGGTAATGTCAGCTCCCAAACAGATCTGCAAACACAGAAGCAGATGGTCCCCGCTCCTTGTCAGTGCCAGAAACCCAGGCTGTTGCTGGCAGAACCCACTGAAGCCATAGGAGGTGGTAGTTCACCAGCAGCGTGCTGACAAGGGGAAGCAGGAAGGATCCACAGGCCAGGGAGAGACGGCCAGATGGTAGGGTAACACACAAACATCCAGCAAGGAAGCACAGGCAGACAGGGCAAGCTGGACAGCACAGTGGCAGAAAGAGGAAGGAACAAGACAGACGTGAGAAACTGGTCAGCTTCACACGGAGTCACAGGGAGCTCCAAACTACTCTTCCAATAGGGCTGTGCTCCATTGAGTAGTAACTGTGATCGTCAGATATGACACACTGCAAAGAGAAAGGGAAACCCTTGAAACACAAGGAGCGAGACAGAGTAGACAAAGCAAGATGCTAAGACTTTAACCTCAGCCTGGAAGAGGCCAACACGGCCTGAAAGCAGCAAGGTACAGAGGAGTCACCTTCAGTGCTGAGCTTTCCTGTGCTAAGTGGTACAGCTCCGCAGCGTGGGCTCTTCCTCCAGCAGCAACCTGCTAATACTGGGAAGATATCACACAAGGCAGGGGTAGTGTTCAGAGATGGAGATTTAATTTTCTGTCAGCAACACAAAGCAGTTATTACAATTATGAACGTTTGCTCGCATAAGGCTCAGAAATTGGTAGGGGAAAGCCAGCAACGGCCTTGCCCCTCCACAAAATACTATTGAGTAACATTAATTCACAACCCGTATGAGCCCAACTGTTGGGCTGTTATCCCATAGCGCATTGCACTGGCACTGGCCTTAGCCTAGATCAAAACAATCAGTTACATGGAGTTGATTTGGATGTGCTAAAGATGCAGCTCTAAGTGCCTGAAGACCAGGCTACTGTCAGTCAAACGAGAGCCAAGGCAGCTCATGCTGCCCTCACCTCCTGGGGCACTGGCTTACCATATTGCAAGGAGTATTTCAGGAAAAAAAAAAAAAAGTCATGATTATCCCTGATTGAGCTACTGCTCCCATCTTTATTAAACCCCAAGAGGTGTGGACAAGGCAAGCTCTGAGCACGGAAATACATGGACTACACACTACAGCTTTGGTGACTTTGGTGACTTCATGTAAGTTTGCTTGTTCCTGTGCTTCATTGGATTTTTGTGACGGCTTCATGGATGGACTTGGCCACATAGTCCAGGTTCTTGGTAGTCAGGCCACACATGTTGATGCGCCCGCTAGCCATCAGGTAGATGTGTTTTTCCTTGATCATGTACTCCACCTGCTTAGCTGGGGAAGCAAATGGACATCAGGTCAGAGCAGTAACCCCACAGCTCAGAGAAGCCCCAAAAAACAGTCAGGGCTGCTTAAATCTTCCACAATGAGCAGAAGACTTCCACCACTGGCCGCTGAAATGCTGATGCTTCAGCCCTGCCCTGCTACAGAGGCAGTGATACCAGAACTCCAGCAAGGTCCCCAGGAGATCCCCACCTGGCCTGCTTCAGCCCATTTCACCCTTGATACCACTTCCCTCTCCCAATCCTCCTTTCCCCTCCCTACGGCAGCACCAGGGCACTTTGTACTTACGGTTCAGCCCCGTGAAGCTGAACATGCCGATCTGGTCCGTGATGTGGTTCCAGGTGCCCGGGGTCCCCAGGGACTCCAGGCGAGACCGGAGCTCCGAGCGCATCAGCAAGACCCGATCTGCCATCGTCTTCACGTTGTCCTTCCTGCAGCAGGCGGAAAGCAGAGCGTGAGGGCAGGCACCGAGCTGGTTTGGAGCATGACACTTGTGGAGCCAGCGTCCCCTTTCCCTCTCCTGCTGGTGACACCTACCACTCGGCAAAGAGCTGCGGGGACGTAAGCGTAGTCGCCACGATGCGCGCTCCCTGGGAGGGAGGGTTGGACCAGGTGGTGCGCACGATCTTCTCCATCTGGGAAAGCACGCGCTGCACGTTGTCTGCGTCCTTCCCCACCACGGTCAGGTTCCCCACGCGTTCATCTGTGGATGAGCCAAGAGACGTGAGCCATCGGCCCCACGCATCGCTGCGAAGCAAGAGCTCTCCCCCCGACCCCTTTCCCAACCCCGCACGCCAGCCCCATCTGTCTGGGTGTGGCCAGCTTACTGCCGGACACTCACTGTAGAGACCAAAGTTCTTGGAAAACGACTGTGCACAGAAGAGCTCAAAGCCCTCGGAGACAAAGTATCGCACAGCCCAGGCATCCTTGTCCAGGCTGCCAGAGGCAAAACCTTGGTACGCCGAGTCGAAGAACGGAAACAGGAACCGGCGCTGGAAGGAGGAACAGTGTTAGAGGGAAACCCCTTCCCCACAGCTTTCACTTCACCCCCCGCTGTCCCCATTGGGGGACAAATGACCACTGAGCTTCTGGGGGAATACAAAAAGAAGTATTGGCCCAGCAACACCAGACTAGTGGATTTTCCTTTTACTAGGGGCAAAAAACAATGAAGACCAAAGTGGCAAAGAAATGGTCAAATGTAGGAGAAAACTCCACTCTGGAGGATAAGGCAGGGCACAAAAGATATGCTGTCTTATACCATCGTGTCCAGCACCTGTGAAAAGCAGGTGTGCCTGGATGATCTTCCCAGCATGAAAAGCCTCAACACAGCCCATTCCACTGAGTTTGGGCATAAAAACTTGGAGGCATGAGCAGACCTGGGACGTTTGCATCCTCTGAGCCCTCTATCCTCACAGCACAGATGAGCAGCATCCCGTCAGCCTCTCCCTTCAACACCTGCCCCGTGGGACTCTTCCAGCCCCTGCTACACCTTGTGCCATTCCCTAGAGCCCAGCTTTGGCTGCAAGTCCTCCGGCTGGCCCCAGAGCAACCCGTCCCTCAGCACGGCTGCAGCCCCACCAGGAGCCCATACCTTCATGACGGCAGCGATCTGCTTCCACTGGTCTGGAGTGGGGTCTGTGCCCGTGGGGTTGTGCGCGCAGGCGTGGAGGATGAAGATGGAGAACTCCGGAGCTTTCTGGTGAGAGAGCGGGTTTCGGTCAGACGCACTGACAAGGCTCAGCACCCACACTGCAGGAGGGCTGAGGTGCTCTGGGCACCCACAGTGCTGTTAGCAGAGACGCTCTGACAGCACAGGACCACGCTCAGCCCGCCCCACGCCCAGTGTCCTCACCTCCATGTCATCCAGCAGCCCCTGGAGGTCCAGGCCCCTCTTGGCGGCATCCCAGTAGTGGTAGGTTCGGATGTCTTTAAAGCCAGCATCCAGAAACACAGAGTTGTGGTTCTCTGGGGAGAGAAATCGCATTTCAGAAAAGTGAACTCCACCTCCCAGCAAGCCACCTACTCCAGTACGTCCCTAAATTCCCCGAAACACAGAGGCAATTCCTTCACCCAGAAGAGGAAGGGCTTGCCCTCACCCCGAGGAACCCCAATGTGCCTCCCTCGGCCACCAACCGCCCCGTGTGGCAGCGGCACTCACCCCAGGTTGGCGAGGAGACGTAGACGGGGGTGGCCGTGTTGTTGGTGCCGTTGTACCAGCGCCGCAGGAACTCCGCGCCGATGCGCAAGGCGCCCGTCCCGCCCAGGGACTGCACGCTGCCGATCTGCAATGGGGCTGTCAGTACACGGGCACCCAGCGAGGGGACCCGAGGCTGATTCCTGTGTCCCCCCACCGGGAAAACCCCCTCCTTCAGGGCTCTTCAGCACCCAGACCCACCCCGACACCTCTAACTTTAGGCTCAATTTTTTTCCTAGAGTCTTTTTTTTCTGTTCTG